GATTAATGCTGAGCAGGGCTATTTTTGGGCAGGAACGCACAGGAACGGAGTTCCGGCTGGCTCCCACATTGGCCACACCTAGCAGGAACTAATTAGCATAATAGGCCACACCCAACGGCAGAAACTCATTAGGATTGGCTACATTAGGGGTGTGTGGCCTAACATGCAAAGGAGTTCCTGCTACAAAGAAAGCCCTGGGTTTTGACAACAAACAAGGCAAACAGAACAACAAGCAAAAGGTGGGTGTGGCTGGATGAGCACACTTCTGGTAACATGGGGTGTGGCCTAATATGCTAATATGATGTGATATCGGGGTGTGGCCCAATATGCTAATGGGTTTCTGGTGTTGGGTGTGGCCTATTATGCTAATGAGTTCCTGCTGGGCTTTTTCTACAAAAAGAGCCCTGAATTGCTGAGACTGATGTAATCACGGGCATGCATCCAACTACCTGTGCGCGCTTTGTGGAGTGGGAGTTCCTCACATCCCCTTCCTCCTGCTGCCCACCCCGGCCCTAAAAGATTTGTTCCCGAGGAGCGGCATGGAGGGTGAAGTGAGGATCTACAGTGGGAATCGCTAGAAATCGCCACTCATCTTCCCACAACTGGGAACGCTGTTCGGTCAGAGGAGCCACATTTGTTGATGCAAGCCATTAGCCACAGTTAAGGCTTATGGGATCAGACTGGGAGGGAACTGCTTGGAAGAAAGAGATGAACTCAGAACCTGTTCCTGAATCGTTGGCCACAGTTATGGGACTGGGAACTTTACGATGTGGGCTGGTTCTTCGTTTAACCCTGAGCATTAAAGGAGTATTATTTAAGGTAATATTATGGAAATGCTAATAATTACTTATTATATTTATGACTCTCCCGATCCCTGCTACAGCAGGGCTCTGGGCGCTGTGCAAAAGCCATAAAACAAACAAGATAAAATCAGTTAGGACATTAATAAAACAGTTCAACAATCAGATGGCGAATAATTAACCAATCCCAGTTCCAAACTGCCGGCTACTTTGCGGACGGGGGGGGGGAGAGGGCAAGGTAGATGTAAATAGCAGAGAACAACAGAGAAGTGCGCCAGCCAAGATGGAGCCATTGCAGTCCTCAACCAAAGGCCTGGCAGGAACATCTCTGCCTTACAGGCCCTGCGGAATTGCATCAGATCCCGCAGTGCCCTGGTCGTACTTGGCAGAGAGTTCCACCAGGTTGGGTCCAGGACCAAAAAAGCTCTGGCCCTGGTTGAGGACAGCCGGATGTCTTTAGGGACCACCAGCAGATTGCTGTCTAAGGATGGGACAGCAGACATGACTGTTCTCGGTACGTGGATCGAACCGCCTTCCGCATAATGCTCTTCTAAATTTCCAGATTGGTTGTAGGATAGCACATGCTTGGTACAAATGTTGTGTGTGGAAAATACCTCGCTCTCAGTTTTCATATGGACGTGAGAAGGAAGCGACTGCAAGACTGCCGTTAGATTCTGAATATAACACAAAATCTTTGACCCCGTACTTCGTGACCTGGGAGACGCAGTAGTGAAGGGGTTCCCAACATGGTGGCAGTGTGTGCCCAAATGCCTGCCATTGCCAATATCTATCCTGGCAGGCACCAACTAACTGTTTTTGGAAAGTGGGAAGGGTCAAGTGGGTCTTTTGCCCAGCAAGGTTTCTGATGGGCGCTGGAGATTTGATTGGATGTGCAGATTTTAGAAACGTTGCTTTGGTAGCAGCTGCCACCACCATTGCTTGACTGGATGTCAGTTGTGGCAGCCATTTTGTGTTTGGCGTCACCTTCCGTGGCAGCCATTTTGTGGCTGACCCACCATGTGATGTCAGAATTCCAAACGTGCCTGCTGGGTCCAAATGGCTGGGGACCCCTGAAGCAGTAACTGCTCCTGCCTTCATAGGGGAGCCAAAGGAGGAGCCTGTTCTACAACTCCTCCCCCCATCCTCGTTCTCACTTAATGATTGGTGCTCATGTGGGAAGGAGGGGAGGTGTTCCTTTCTCATGGCATGAGGTGGCTGGAATACTCTGAAAGGGAATGGCAGTGCTGTAGGCTTCTGTGCCACAGAGGGGTAAGACACGTATTAGACCTTAGTAGTTTCAAAACTGGGGCCGCGGTGGCTCAGAGGTTAAGACAATGAGCTGCAGACTGGAAGGTCTGTAGCTTGGTAGTTCGAGACCCGAGTGCTGTGTGACAGAGTGAGCTCCCATCTCTGGCCCCAGCTCCTGCCGACCTAGCAGTTCGAAAGCAAGACATTGCATATAGGTACCGCTTCGGTGGGAAGGTAACCGTGCTCTGTGTGCCTTGGCGTTTAGTCATGCCAACCACATGACCACAGGGAAGTCTTCGGACAGCGCTGGCTCTTCGGCTTGGAAATGGAGATGAGCACCGCCCCCTAGAGTCGGATTTGGCTGGCTTTTTGAGCAAGGGAAACCTTTACTTTTTAGCTTCAGAACTATGCATAAATATTAAGCCTATTTATTGTTGGGAAACGGGGCTGGTGGTGGAGCTCTTTTAGCCACTGGTCATCTTTATTCCCTCCTGTTTACCATGTCGAATGTACTGGCTGGGCTGACTTTGGGTTTCAAAGCAGGAAACAATTTATTTAACATTTTATTTATTTAACATTCAACTTTATATCCCGCTCGAACCCCCTTGTCAGGGGGGTCTCTGAGCGGCTTACAATTCGGTGCTAGTCACCATTTTACTTCCCTGACTAAGGCCACATATTTGTATGGGGTGGGGAGACCTACCGGCACCCCTATGGTGGTGGTTGGTAGTTGGTGGTGTTCTCCTCTTCTTCCTGTTGGCTCAGGCGGTTTCTCATGCGGGACGCTCTCCTCGGCGCCTGGCGGCAACCTCCCTCTCTCGAGGCGCGCGACTTCCCGCCTCCTTCCGGTTTCAGCTGCATCCTTTTCCCGGCTCTGCTGTGCCAACACTTGGCGTCATCGCGGCCCTCTCCCAACGGCGGTCACTCGATGTTCCGTCCTCTAGCCACCAGGGATCGCTCCTCTGGTTGCGCCCGCTCGCTGCCGCCGCCACCTCCACGCCATCCAAGCTGGAGCTGATGTCTCGCTGCCGCCGCCATCTGTCTTCAACCACCACACAGGCAGGGTGCCCCCCACCCTACTAAGGGTGGGTACCCATTTATCTACTTCCAATTAAGTTGCTTTCGAACCGCTGGGTGGGTGGGAGCTGGGACAAGGGTCGAGAGCTCACCTCGACCGCGGTGGTACTCGAACCGCCATAGGGCTGCTCGTATGATGTTACTGAAGCAGGCATTTAACTGCCTGCGCCACCGCTCCTATATATACCCAATAAGTTTGGGTAGGACATGCTTGTGTGAGAAGGGCTTTCGCAGATGCTGTCATCCTGGCTCAGACTTTCACATGCTTCGTGTTCAAGCAGTCTTCATGCTCAATGCGATTTTTCTGTTGTTTCTCTGCAGTAGTATGTCCCCAGTGTATAATGATCGTCTTCTGCCAAATTGGTAACTTGCTTAGCTGTCGCCACTATCCTGCAGCCTGATTTCCTTTTCCCTAAGCAAGTAATCTATCATAGAATTGAAAGCACATATTGGTTCTTAGTGCTCAGCAGCTTGCGCTTCAGCTTCATCCCTGGATGTCTCTGGGTTGCCCCCAAATAAGTTTATATATTTGTTTTTTTATGCAATAATCCTGTTGACCACATTTGTCATGCGTTATGTAAACACACTTGCCCTCTGGAAGGGATCACTGACCCCAGTGTTTTGGTTTTTCCACTGATGTGTGGCCGTGAGTTGGGTTATGCTTTTGGAAATGAAGGTCATCCAAAAGAACTGGAGTATTCTCACTTGGCAGTGGTGTAGCCCCTGAGAAACTCTAGGGCAAGTTTTCAACCCCCAAAAAAGTCAGCAGAACAGAAAACTGGAACATGAGAAACAAGATAGAACAAACTGATAATTTGCTAGCTATGCACCGTCTCTTTTTGGTTGGGAACTATTTTACCTATGGCATTTCATCTGCATATGTGGGGGATGTGTATGCTCTTACATAGTATTATGCGCACATGTTTGTTTTGCCACGTGCAGGAATGGGAGGCCAACTGCTAGTCATGTTTGGGAGAGTGACAGTATCAAACAGATGTGTGTATTAGTTGTTGTAGATTTCCCGGGCTGTATGGCCGTGGTCTTGGCATTGAAGTACCTGACGTTTCGCCAGCAGCTCTGACTGGCATCCTCAGAGGTTTAACACAGAAAGATGGAGTACTCTCTGTGTCAATGTGAGAAGAAAAATGGTAGGCAGGTAATTAATATCTACTCAGGAAGGTGGGGTAGGGCTGAGTCATTATCTTGTAGGAGTTCCCCAGGCTGTGGCATGCTAAAGGAGGAGCTTTCCTGAGGAGGTTCTTTTGCATATGGATTGGCTGGTGAAAATCTAATCTTATCTGTGTGTACGATAGCCCAGGCAAGACTTTCAGAAGAAATGGGTTTCAGGATGAGCGGCCGATAACCTGAAGACTGTTTCAGTCATAAAGGAGAATAATAGTAAGAAATGGGAATGTAAAAAAGGAGCTGGAAAATTAGTTGACGTGACAGAGAAGGAATGGGGCAGAATCCCGCAATAAAAGGTCATGGGCCTTGGAAGCAAGACCGGAAGCAACAGGGAACCAGTCAAGAGATTTATGGGTGACTTGATGTTGTGTGTGTTGAAATTAATTTATTTATTTAGCTCTAAATCCACTGACTTCCTTCTACAGCTGGGTCCCGTGATTCTTTCCTGTTAATTCTTATGACATAGAACAGTTTCCTCCAATAGAGAATGTCTGTCTCCGTCAAAGAAAGATGTAATGGAAAGGCATTATTTGATAGCGATTAGTTCTCTTTTCTGGTATTTTATCCTCCCAGGTAGTGGGAGATTTGTCTGCTTGAGATTTCCTCGGCAGTTGGATAAAAATGATTTTTTTACAAAAAACACATTAAATTACTTAACTAAACACCTCCTTTATTTCCTTTTCCTAACAGGATGATAGTGATGGGATTCCTTGGTCAGAGGAGAGGGTGGTACGAAAAGTCCTTTACTTATCTCTAAAGGAATTCAAGAATTCGCAGAAGAGGCAGCACGGTGACGGCATCAACGGGAGCCTCAAGGGTGTGAATGGTAAGTCCCTTTTAAACAGGTTGGCTTTGCTTCAGATCGGAAGGCGAAGTTGGGGGGGGTCAGGACAGAAGGTGCTTGATACGCCTCCTTCTGCTTCAGTGGGGAGGAGTCCTCCAGGAAGTGGTTAGAATCCCGCCTCTGTTCGCTCAGATAGGGCTATGCGAATCTGCTCGCTCAGATAGGGCTATGCAAATCTGCTCACTCAGATAGGGCTATGCAAATTTCTTCCGTTGCGTGGCTCCTATTGGAGGGTCCTAGACTGGCCTCCCCAGTTCCATATAGCCCTATGCTCGGTCGGTTGCTAGTGCTCCCGCTCCAAGCGAAGCAGAATAGCTTGAAAATTAAATTGTTTATTTCTTCTGTTTCCCTGTTGCGTATAACCTGACACAGCAGAGTAATCTAAGTGGGTCGACGTCCCCTCCCATTCTAAATACCTGTATTGTATATTTGCAACTTTTGATCACACCCCTTTGAATAAGCAGAAGCCTTTTCTTCCTGCGCCAGGTCAGGAACACATTTAGTCTAGAGAAGGGACTATTTCCTTCATATCCGTTTCAGGTAAAGGCTTCCTTATACCACAGAACACAGGGAAGGGGAGTGTTACTTCACATCAGCCACATAGCCAAAAAGTTTGGGTTGGTGGGGTATGGGGAAATTTCATGGGGTAGAGGGGGAGGAGGGAGGGAGGGGGGTTGCGAGAGGGGTGGCCGCACGCCTTCCCTGAACTTCGAGCGGCGATTTTGCCACTTGGAGATGAGGTGTAGGCAGCCCCTGCTAGAAAAGCAGCATTTAAAGGGAACCCTTTAAATCAGGGGTGTCGAACTCATTTGTTACGAGGGCTGGATCTGACATAAATGAGACCTTGTTGGGCCGGGCCATGTGTGTTATAAAATGTAATGCCAAGTAGTGGAGAGATAAACTTTATAAAGGACACAAACACAAAGGGTTTTTTTTACTTAAAATAAAGACATGCTTAAAACATTAGCACTCTTGCAATATTTTGTTTATTTAACAGTGTCTGATAACTGACACCTTGCTCTGAATTATTGCATCAAAATGTCTGTGCTGTTGCCATCTTGAGTATGCTGTTCAAGTGTGTATCTGTAAGCTGCAGACCTACGATGACGCAGCAGCAGCAGAACTGGAAGAAGAAGCAGGAGACAGCCAGTTCCACTGCGGGCCTGACAGAAGCCCTCCGGGGCCTGATCCGGCCCCTGGGCCGCATGTTTGACACCCTTGCTTTAAATAGTGTTTTTCAAGCGGGGGCTGCCCACGCCTGTACTCCAAGTGGCAAAATTGCTGCTTGGTGTTCAGGGAAGGTGTGCGGCCAGCAGCCGCCCCTCTCCCTCACCTCCTGCAAGATTTAAAGGGCCCGCTGATCAGATGGAGGGCCCTTTAAATCTTGGAGGCAGGGAGGGGGAGTTGTGGTTGCGAGATTTAAAGGTCCCTCCAGCTGATTGGCGGGCCACGTGCTACCGTCGATCTGCTGGGGAGCCCTTTTAATGTCACCGAAGAGGTGGGAGGGGAGGAGTGGTGAAGGGGAGAGGGGCAGCAGCTGTTGTGAGGCGTGCCTCACATTTGAGGAGGCGGAGCCTCAAAATGCCTCGCTGTAGCTACAGGCCTGCTTCACATGTGTGTTCAGGTGAGGATCCAAGAGGAATTTTAATGGTAAAATTCCGTTAATTGCATGGGAGTGAATATACAAACTACTTGCACCCTATCTGGCAACACAATCACTCCAGTTAATTTTTACTTGGCTGTCTGTATTCACCTATAGTGCATATTGTATAGGCAGTCTTAACCATTTTGTCCTTCTGAAATTGTATGAACCTCACATAGAATGCTTGTGGTCGGCTTAAGTGTCCCAAGAATGTTTCACTACAGGAGAAAAATAGGGTGTCTCCCTGTACTGGTACTGATTCTGAACCGTCTCTTCCAGCTCTTCTCTGATAACCATAGAGCAGAGGTTAAATGAGACTGCCGAAAATAAAAACAGAAGGGGTAAAAACAGATATTGATAATGCTGTTTGCTAATGATATTGATTTGTCTAAGAGAGAGAGAAAAAGAGAGAGAAATGGAAAGAAAGAATGAAAGGTGGAAAGAAAGAGAGAGAGAATGAAAGAGGTGGAAAGAGAGAAAGAGAGAGAGAGAAACAAAGAAAGCAAATCGATGGGAGGGAGGGGGAAGGGAGGGAGGGAGGGTGGGCAGGAAGGAGAAAAAGTATGCCTCCCCTTCGCTTTTCCGGCTGCCCTGTCAGGAGCCGCAGAATATGTGTGAAAGAGCCACATGTGGCTCCCAAGCCATAGTTTGGCCACCCCTGCCATAGAGGTTACTTTGGATCAGTGTTCCCTCTAAGCTGAGTTAGTGTGAGCTAGCTCACAGTTTTTTAGCCTCCAGCTCACACATTTTTGCCTTAGCTCCGGAAGGAGGGCTCCAGAGCAAACTAATGTATGCAGTAGCCAAATCGCTCGCTCACAACTTTAATGCCAGCAGCTCTCAAAGTAGAATTTTTGCTCACAAGACTCCACACCTTAGAGGGAGCATTGCTTTGGATGTGTCTAGAGCACTTTTAATGTCTTCATAAATGTACATTTGCTAACATCTGAACATACTAGTGTGCATGGACACGAAAACGTATACCCAGAATTAAACTTTGTTGATCTTAAAGGTGCCACTGGACTCAAACTTTGTTCTAGTGCTTTAGACCAACAGGGCGACCCAGTGACCCACCTGAATACCGCCTGTATGTTTGCATAGATTATTTCTTTATTTTTGTGGCTTTAAGGACCGTCCAATTTCACTACTTGCTTTCGTTAAGACGGCCTGTGCTTATTCAAACAGAAACAAATGCGTGGGCCGTGCAGCTACAGAATAGCCACAGCGGTGTGTCAGGCAGCCAGTTTACAGCATCTCAGATCTGCTAAGGAAACTCCCTCTGACTCTTCAGTCTGGTAGAAACGTGAAATACCAAACTGGAAAGTATTTGTGTTTTAGTAGCTGGAGAACGACACAAAACAGTTTTAGGTCTGTTTCTCTCTCCCCCCCCCCCCCCCGTTTGAGCTTTTGTTTCCAATCATACCTGCTATTGCCGTTTGGCATCTGAAATCACTTCACTCTCCAAGGTATAAGGACAGATGCTTACATTCTGGCTGTATCTGAAGAAGCGAGCAGTGACTCATGAAAGCTCCTACCCTGCCACAAATTTTGTTAGTCTTTAAGGTGCTACTGGACACTTGTTCTTCTCCCTCTGAGGTGGAGGCCATCTTGTGGGTGATTCCCATCCATCATTCAGGGAGCCAGGAACTCTTCAAACTTCCTGTTTCCTGTGGTGGGAGTCACCCCGGGCTCAGTTCGGGTGCTCCTAAAGCAATAACTCTAAATAACTCTCAAAACGTGTCAACTATAGAATCTTAACCACATAACTAGAAACAGGAAGAATTTTGTAATATAGGTAACTCACTTCTTCTCTCTGCAATGAAAGCTTAACAACAATAAGGAGAAAATAAGAGGAAAATAGATGGATCCTCACAGGGTTCCAAAGGGGCCTTTCACGTGGCCTCTGGCCAGACTCAGACCCAGTTGGCTTCAGAGCAGACTCTGGGTCATACTGCAGGGTTGACTGGAAAAAAATAATGTCATGGTGAGCAAGAATAGATACGGTACAGTAGATGAAGAAGAGATTGGGATCTATACCCTGCCCTTCACTCAGAGTCTCAGAGTGGCTTACAATCTCCTCCCCCTCTCCCCCTCACCACAACAGACATCCTGTGAGGTTGGTGGGGCTGAGAGAGCTCTTTCAAGAACTGCTCTTGAGAGAGCACCTTTGAGAGAACTTGTGACTGACCCATGGTCTCGCCAGCAGCTGCATGTGGAGGAGTGGGGAATCAAACCCGGTCCTCCCAGATTACAGTCTGCACTCTTAACCGCTACACCAAACAGTACAGTACAGTACAGTACAGTATAGTACAGTACAGTACTTGTGGTTGTATGTTCACAGGAGTGTTGTCAGAGGCTATGGTGAAGCAGCCCAACAGTTCCAATACACAGAACATAGTTATACAGAAAATTCTCCTTTCCTGACCAAGCTTACTTATGTACTCAGGAGGGCTAGAAACTTCCCCAGTGGAAATGTTCAGATTAATGTACCAGTTACTAGAATGTTAAGAAGGCAAGTCTGAAAATTTGCTTGTGTAATCACAGGTCCTTGACCAGAACTAGTTAATGTTATCATAACATTTTTGAAATGTGAAATTCTATAAACAGATGTCTTCAATACTAAAAAAACATTGCTTTTTTGCCCCTTCAAAGGTAGTTCCTTTCATCCTTTAAGTGTGTAAGTAGATACCTTGTGACATAGAATTTTTACCCTATTGTTAGTCACAACAGCTTAGGACCATAACAAAACACAGGAGAAGAAATGGTTCTGTTCTTGAAGTAATTAGTAGTTAGTTGCCAAGTTCTTTTCTCAGTCGGTTAAGACTAAAAATCATTAAAATGTTATATTATATAGACACATGTATTCAATATTTTTCCTTCCTTTTTTTTAGCCTTAGTGTGACACTGTCCAGATCCGAATTGGCTGTAAGAGCAGTATCATTAAAGTAAAAGTAACGAGTTACTGTTTGATCAGAGATGACATTAATTGTAATAAGACTATGCTCTATTTCACTTCAGTTTTAAAATAATTTAATTATTTATTGCGTGTCATAATAGCAGACAAACTGCAGTGAAGTTGTTAGAATAAAACATAGTTGTCAGCTAGGGTTGCCAACTCCAGGTTGGGAAATTCCTGGATATGTGGAGGCAGAGCCTGCAGAAGGTGGAATTTGAGCTCATCCTCTAAAGCTGCCATTTCCTCCAGAGAAACTGATCTCTGTTAAGTCTGGAGATTACTTCTGATTCTAGGAGAGCTCCAGGCCCCGCCTGCAGGTTGGGAACCATCTTCCCAACTAATAGGGTCTAGTTCCAAGTGTGATGGCTTGAAAAAAAGCAGGAACCC